CCAGACTGGCCCACGTGGCACTCAGACCCGTGACATCACAGAACGTTACTTTGCCCAGCCCAAGTCTTTGTAACGACCTGCAGATCCCAAAACACAACGTCCGTTCCATTGCACCTGCCTGCGACTCAGTGTTTGGATCCTTAAAGGATGAGTTTATTGGAACATCAATGAATTTTATACTTTAAAATCAATATTCCCTGTTCTTAGGAGAATCCGTGAGCGCGCACACACGCGCGCGCGCACACACACACACACACACACACACACACACAGACAGACACAGACCAAATAATTTACTCCCCAAATAAATAAAATACAAACCATAGGAAAGAATTGAGATTTTTACCTAAGTAGGTCACATGAAACTAACAGAAGGTGTTGTCACTATATTCTGATAAAATCTGGGAGGAATTTTTTTAATGTTTTTCCTTAGATACAGAGTAGAATGCCTTGTTAATATTAACATTTATTTTCCAAATGTTTTGCAACTGTTACGTTGTCAGCTCTGAACTATCGCGGTGGCCTGTCTGGGGATAATCCACGTCACGGAAGGTGTCTAGGAACGTGCGGACTCGTTTCCAGAGGAGCCTGAGCAGCTTAGTGGCAGGAGGTGCTGACAGACTGGCACAGCCACAGGCACACCCGCTGCCGGGCAGACAGCACACGGCGACCTCCAGACAAGCCACGACTCCTGAGCTCACCTGAGGGTGGGTTCCGCTGGGACCGGGTCCACAGGAGCTCACCCGAGGGTGGGTTCCGCCGGGACCGGGTCCACAGGAGCTCACCTGAGGGTGGGTTCCTCAGGGACCAGGTCAACAGGAGCTCACCCGAGGGTGGGTTCTGCAGAGACCAAGTCCACAGGACGAACGGGTCACATTCCTTCAAGCAAGTTTTGTTTCTAAAATGCTATCTCATGGTGATGAGTTTAAAAAAGCCCTTGGAAATAAGACAACAGGTCATCGTTGGTTCCTTTTCACCACGGGGGGCTCATTTCTGACTTTAGTACGGCTATATCCATTAACACTCCTGAACGGAGACATGTTGCTCTGTTAGCACGAGTTCGCCACCCTCTCCGCTAAGAATATAACGGGACTCTCTCGGTGCCAGCACCTGGCCGAAGGGAGCCTCGGGGACTGTGGCCACATCTTGAGAGGACTGAGGAAGGGTCTCTGCTCAGGACAGATGTGAACCACCTATCTGAATTACTTCCTGAGGGTGTGAGGCGTTCTGTGACTGCCGACACGTTACTGGCCCTAGGTCCAATGTTTTCCTCATAAACTTGACAGTGTTCAAAGTGATGCAGTCCGTAGGCATAGATTTTATTTCAGATACTGTGTGTACTTTTTAATCATAAAAAGTCACTAGTATTTACCCTCCTTTAGAAAAGGAACTGCATGCTCAGAGGTTCCTCAGTGTGTCATGAGTAGGATTCATGTAACAAGGTCATTTCTTATCAATTACTTTGCTGGTGAACAGAGAGGCGCACAGACGTACAAGCTCCGTCCGTATCCGGGCCACAGGAAGGCCGGCAGCAAGCATCTCTAAAGCGTTGTTGGACTTGTCCACAGCTTAACATCTTTCTGGACCAAACCTATTGTCATAGCAGAAAAACTGCTGAACCAAATTAAATAGAATCTGTCATCAGATCAGAAAATAGCCAGTTCGTTAAGAGCCATTTGTCTAAACTAGAAGAGCAATGTGTGGACGTAAAACCACCTTTTCTCACTCTGTTAGGACGACCCTTGCCACTGACTATCGTATTGAGTTCTGTAACTGCCCCTTGGTGGGTTTAGAGTCCATTCGTTCATTCCGCAGCTGCTGTGTACCGACTACGGACACGGTATCGTGCTGAGTTCAAGAGACGCGCGAACGTGAAAGGTGGGGTGCGGAGTGAGGTCGCAGGGGACTGGACCACCCTGGACCCCATCCCATCCAGCTTCGTCACAGGCAGCCGTCGCCTCCTCGGGGTGTTTAACACGGCTCCAGGGTCCTTTCTTGGCACATCGGTGTGTCCTCCAGGCGAGATTTGGTGAACAGGGCCTCTGGGCAGGTCAGGAAGTGATCGCTGACGTGAAATCGCTCGATTACATGAACTGGCTCATGGTTGGCGGTGCGGAAATGCCTTCATTTCCTCACTAGGTAACCGCAGAGCTTGTGGTTGGGCAGAGGCCTCTTCTCAGAAATTCGCACATTCCAGTGCCTGCCATCAGCAGTCTGAGCCCAGGCATTCCCTGCTGCCGGTATTCCATGTACGGAGGGATGTACCACCAGCATGTGTACAGGGGATTTGACAAAGTCAGCTTGCTTTCTCTCCCGAGGCCAGAAAATAAGAAAATGGATAGTAGCCCTGGCTGTATGGATAGTAGTTTGGCTCAGCGGTGAGAGTGTCAACTTGAGAACTGAAGGGTCACAGATTTGATTCCTGGTCAAGGGATGTACCTCGGTTGCAGGTTTGACCCTTGGCCCTGGTTGGGGTCGTGCAAGAGGCAGCCAATCAGTGTGTCTCTCTCACATCGATGTTTCTCTCTCTCCTCACTTCCATTTTATCTAAAAAGCAATGGAAAGAATATCTTCGGGTGTGGATTAAAAAGAAGAAGAAGAAGGAGAAATAAGAAAGAGGATAGTAGGCCTGACCCCAACCCTTTTCTTCCCAGCTCTGCATGAACCCATGACTTCTAAACCTGTACCTGTAGCCCACACGTTCTCCGAAACTCCAAACTCATACAGCCAATGCGCCACACAGCGTTTGTTTAAATTTATCTTTATAGTTGAAAGTATTATAGATATCCCCCCTGACTGCCTCCACCTCACTCCCCGCTCCCCTGGTCTTTACCACACTATCTATCGAACTGAATGTGAGCACAGATTCCCTTCCCCGACTTCACACACACACACACACGCGCGCACAACCACACCTTTCTTCTTGCAGTGTTCCCAGTTCGGTAATATTCTCTCTGTCTCTGTCCTTCTGTGTTCTTGGGGGAAATCATTACGCTCATGCTTGACTCTTTTTCTCTCTGCCTAAAATATGCTTTAAAATGTTGTCATTTCTACCTTTGAAATACATCCAGAACCCAGCACTGATGCCCACCCGCAGCCCTGCCTCTCCGGTCCCAGGCGCCACCACCCCTCAGGCGGGTCACTGAAGTAACCTCCCACCTGCTTCTCTGCATTCTGCTTTCATCCGTGTCCCCAAGAGTCCCTCTGAACACATCAGCCATATGGCTGTCTTAGAAAGATTACTCAAATCATGTCACTCCACAACTCCAAGTCTCCAGAGGTTCCCGTCTCTCCGAATAAACAGCCAGAGCTCCTGCAATGGCCTTTGGGGGCCTCTGCCTCCCCGATCCTTCTCAACTCTCAGACTCCATCGTCCACGTCCCCACCCCGTCCCTCTGCTCGGCCGCCCGGCCTCTTCGCTGCCCCTCGGACGAGCCAGCACATTGTGGCCTCTGGACCTTCAGAGCTGGAGCGTTGGCCTGGGATGCTCATCCCCTCGGTGGCCACTGGCTTGTCTTCCTAATCTTCTGACCTCGAGTGTCTGTTTCCACACGCCTTTCTGGAAGGTGTTCCTAACTCACTAGCCACCTGTCCACATTGTGGTCCCATGTCCCCTGGAATCTAGCTCCTCTCGGTTGCCATTCTCCTTCCCACTATCCAGCTGACACACCAAGCAGTCTAATCCCTCAGGACTGGTTGTCAGCCTTGTGGATGAGCACAGACACGTCTGTCCTGCTCACTGCGGATCCCTGGTGGCCACAGCCGTGTGTGGCACCAAGTGGTTTTCCCTAATGAATAGCTGAGCTGATGCATCTGACTTGATCCCACTTTGGAGGGGACTGTGATCTGATGACGCGAGGAGAACGAGAACCTAGAGCTGCACCGGGGAGGACCTCCGCGCTGTGCTGCGGGCCGGGACCATCCACGGCGCCCAGCCGGGGGCAGGAAAGCGTGCCTTTAGCATAGAGCAGTGATGAGGGGAGAGGGGTGTCCTTGTCATCATCGGTCAGTTCCTCACCAAGCCGAACACGCTCAGGGCGCCACGTGGCTCCAACAGTGACCACAGAGTGGAATAGTGGGGCCTGGTTTCTAAATGGTGTTATACCCCATGAGCTCACTATGTGTGGAATCTGATGAACAGAATACACTGAGGGACAAAACAGATCCAGACACAAGGAAGCAGGGAACAGACTGAGGAACCTCAGAGGGAAGGGGCGCGGGGGGGGGGGGGGACACACCGAAGAACTTACATGCACGACCGACGGACACAAACAACAGTGCAGCGAAGGCCGGGGCAGTGGGGGCGGAGTGGGGAGGAGGGGCTGGGGGGCAGAGGGGGAGATCTGTAATCTGCCAGCAATAACGACAGATTAAGACTAATACTAAAACCCAGTGGACTCCTGAAGGAGCCATGAAAACACCCTACCTGGTGAGATTGCTAATGATGCATCGTAAGTGTCCATAACTTGAAACGTGTAGGTACATTCCCTAAAATGTGTACAAAGTAACACTGTGAAATGAAGTTGATGGAGGTAGTATTTAAAAAAAAAAAAAGTTGCAAAATCTCTTTTCTGAGCACAGAGTTCTAGAAGTACAACTCAGCGATTAGAGCATCGGCCCATGGACCAGGGAGTCCTGGGTTCAGTCCCCAGCCCCCGTTGGGGTCGTGTGGGTGGCAGCCTGTCGCTGTGTATCTCTCATACTGATGTTTCTCTCTCTCTTCCTCCCTCTCTCCCTCCTGCTCTATCTGAAGATAAATGCAAAAATGTCCTCTGATGAGGATAAAAATAAATAAAAAATAGAAGTACAAAAAATAAACACCTCACTTGTCTGCTTTCCCAGTTGGGACTGGGAGAAGACATCGGACCTCACCTCATCTACCCTGCCTCATTTTTGACTGAAATGGATTAACGAGAAAACCCACACTGCACCATTGGCATGTTGCCTGAAGCATCTCAGGAGAGGGGTCGTCACTGTCAAAACTCCTTGTGTCTCTGCAGTACAACCGGTACCAGCACTATGGCGCTGAGGAGTGCGTGCTGCAGATGGGGGGCGTGCTGTGCCCCAGCCCGGGCTGCGGGGCCGGGCTGCTTCCGGAACCACAGCAGAGGAAGGTCACCTGCGAAGGGGGCGGCGGCCTGGGCTGCGGGGTGAGTACCGTGGCACCCCGGTGTCAGTTTTGTGTGTGTTTATCTGCTTTGGCAGACTGCTGGGATTACATGCGTGTTCTGTTTTCACTTGGATTCAGACATCTTTTAACTGATGCATAAGAAAACGCAGGTAAAAACTCTTATGTAGGGTTCCAGATGTGATGGATGGATAGATGGATGGATAGATACATAGACGGATGGACAGACAGATACATGATTGTAATAGATTAGATAGATAGATAGATAGATAGATAGATAGACAGACAGACGGATGGACAGGCAGATATATGATTGCAATAGATTAGATAGACAGATAGATAGATGATAGATAGATAGATAGATAGATAGATAGATAGATAGATAGATAGATAGATAGATAGATGATAGATTGATCGATTGATTTCTATTTTGGAGGGGAGGGAAGGTTGGTTCTCAGTGTTTGTTCGAAGACGGGGCAAACCACTAGACCAGTCTTTTGAACATCTCTTCCAGTGCTCAGCTGATTCAGAGCAAAAATCGATGATTTCTTGTGAGCTGGCTTTAAGTTGATGGGCGTGGAGAAAGGGGAAGAGACTCCCCATCAGTGATGTCTTAACAATGCTGTTGCCTAAGTAGTTCAGGAAATTAAATGAAGATTAATGTGGAAAGCTTGAAATGCTCCTGTGTCGTGAAAATCATTGGAAGTAGAGACGAGCCCAACCAATGGTGTCTCTGCGGGAAGTGGAGTAGGAAACGCGGGACATGCTCGTTCCAGGAGGTCCGCCGGCACGACCTGGACGGCCCGCGGCGAGTCTGGCCACGAGCTGCCAAGGGGCGAGGGACGGGTACCCAGAGGCGACAGGCATCCTGGATGATCATTGAAAGGACAAGTGGGTCATACCCCTGGCATTGGATTTTTGGATTTCACACAGGCCAGAAAAGGAAGAAAGTGTATCTGCGTGTAAAATGCTATTGAGTTTTGATGGGAAAACTTTTTTTTTTAATTGCCACACAAGGGGCCCTGTGAAGGCAGGAGCATGGTGGCAGCGGCGTGTCACCCAGGCCTGATGTGGGGCAGGGCACTGGGAGTCACCTGCGCAGCAGTCGGCATCTGTCGCCCTGTGTAGAGCTGTCTATCTGTCATGCGGTGGAAGTTGAAAAATAACCAGACGCCATGGCTCCCAAGGGGAAAGAAACACCGCTGGGCTAGTAACCGCGACAGCATGTGTGGAAGGAGTGTGCTAGCCTGAGAAATTAGGGCTGTCGGCTCCTCCTTCCAGCCGCGGTCGGCACCAGTGACCAGTCTGCGCCGGTGGTGCGTGCCCCAGGCAGGCAGTCGGCACCACTGACTAGTCTGTGCCGGTGGTGCGTGCCCCAGGCAGTCGGCACCAGTGACCAGTCTGCGCCGGTGGTGCGTGCCCCAGGCAGGCAGTCGGCACCACTGACTAGTCTGCGCCGGTGGTGCGTGCCCCAGGCAGTCGGCACCACTGACCAGTCTGCGCCGGTGGTGCGTGCCCCATCAGGCAGTCGGCACCACTGACTGTAGTCTGCACGGGTGGTGCGTGCCCCACCAGGCAGTCGGCACCACTGACTAGTGTGCGCCGGTGGTGCGTGCCCCAGGCAGGCAGTTGTCAGCACTGACTGTAGTCTGTGCCGGTGGTGTGTGCCCCAAGCAGGCAGCCAAATTCCGGGATCAGAATATTAGCAAATATTTCCTTTCAAAGCGAGTTACAGTCATTTTTAGCTCACGGCTAAATTGCATGCTTCTGCCTACTGTTGTTTCATTCTCTAAAGCTGGACTTGAAGAGCTTAGCTTTGGCCCCGGCTGGTGTGGCTCAGTTGGTCGGGTGCCGTCCCGTGCACCAAGGGGCTGCTGGTCCGATTCCCAGTCGGAGCACTGGCCAGGATGCCGGCTCCATCCCCGGCAGGGGGCGTGCAGGAGGCCGCTGATCCACGTTCCCCTCTCACATCAATGTTTCTCTCGCCCTTCCTCTCTCTCTAAAAATAAATTCTAAATCTTTTTAAAAAATCTCAACTTTCTTTATATGGTGGGGAGTTTTTCTGGCCCATCTTCTGCAGTCAGTTGTTCACCTGGCTTTAAAAAACTCAAGGTTTTATGTCATGTTTAGGTGTTCAATTCCTTCATCATTCCTTTTGCACACTACGTGACATCATAAGTAAGTAGCACATATATACGCTCCAAATCATGGGAAAAGACACTGGAAGGGAATGGAATTGCTTTTATATCTTTGAGCTCAGAGAGTTTGGGGGCAGCCCTTACCGAAAGGCGGATATCACATGTTCCTTCATCCTTTGGAAATGCTGGTAATGAGTTTTATTTTATTTTGATTTGTCCTGTTTCGTTGTTTTGAGGGGTATGCCTGCCAGTTGGTACATTAGTTCTCTCTCCGGGTGTAGCAAATAACCCCACATTTTAACCGTGTAACCAATAGACATGTGTTATCACATAGTTTCTCAGAGTGAAGGACCCATGAGTGACATAGCTGGGGGTTCTGGCTTGGGGTCTCCCCTAAGTGGCAGTCAAGCTGGGCTTGGAGGGGAGGGGAAAATTTCTTATCCTTCTCAGCTCTGTCGAATCTAATAATCAGATGGACATGAGACAGATTAGCAGGAGAAAATAACCTGATTTAATTGTGCGTGGACGGGCAGGGGTCCACGACAGTGTGGCCCCAGGAAGGTCAGGAAGGTGGCTGTTATACTCCCTGGAGCTAAGGAGCGAGATGGGGGTAGTGGTTTCGGATTTCAAAGAGGAGGAAGGACATTCACACAGAGATGGAAAAGCGGGCATTTGGTGAAGCTATTCACCCGGCATCTGTAACAATGAGACCCAGAAAAGACTTTGATCAAAAAGTTCCCTAGTTATCCGTGTGGCTGTCCGCTTCCTGGAGCAGGTCCTCCATCTAATTCTCTCCAGCATTTAGGGGGAAAGTCAGAGGTTCTTACAGAGTCGTTTGTGTCTTGAAAATAACCAGCTTAAAATAATCAGTATTCCAAAGGGGCATCTTTGGGGTCCAGGTAGCAGCCCATTGACAAAAAAGACATCGGTTTCTCTTGGGTGTTGGCCAAAGGCCAAGGTTCCTCACCGTGTGGCTGCGTCTTCAGCTGTTCGTCCCCAGGATGGCGGCTAAGCGACCTGAAACAAGGGGTCCGAGAGAGCAAAGAGGAAGCCGCAGGGCCTGGTGTGACCTGATCCCCAAGGTCGCACACCGCCTTCTGCTGCCTCGTTAGACTGAGGGTCTGGATCCAGCCCGCCCTCCAGGGGGGGCAAGGGGGCTCCATCTCGCAGGAAAGAGTGTCAGGTGATCCGCAGGCAGACTGTGAGCCAGCACACTGCGCCCCGTGAAGAGGCTGAGAGAAGGACACAGAGAATGAGTTTCTGAAACATGCTCTGTGCTGCCCCAGCCTGCACACTCCTCGGGCATCGATTCTTACTGCTTTGACCTCTCGGCAGGAAGAAATTGACCTTCTCATCTCCGCTTTCCTTCAGATCCTCAACTTTCACCAAGGATGTTAACCCAACTCGGATGCCTTGAGGGGTCTGTAGCGGTTAAGAAGGAGATTGGGTGGGATGTCTTTAAGGTCAAATCCTGACTTCACCGGCTACTAGTATTGATAATGTTCATGCCTCTGTTTCCTCGTCTTTAAAATAGGGTAAATACGGTAACACGGGATAAGACTGTGACGAATTTAAATGACACAGTAGATCTACAATGCTTAGAACGGTGTCTGGGTTTACGTATATATTTCCTTGATCAAAAGCTTCGTATTTATCAAAAGCTCACCTAAAAGGCCCAACAGTCAAGGAAAATTATTTACAGCACATTTGTTTGAGCCTCCCTTCCAAATACTCTAGAATATGCCCCTGGATCCAGCCAGGTCCAGAGCAGGGGATCGGTAGCGGCCTCGCTGCTTCAGCGCTTCAAGGACGTGTTCTTCCTGCAGAGTCCGTGGGCACCACGCCTCGCGTTGGTACGCGCTCGCTCTCCGGCGGATCTGACGCGTGTGGCTCAGGACAGCCAATGGGCTGGTCTGGGAGGACCATGGGGGCCCCTCCAGGCTGATCTGAGCAACGAGAGCTCTTGGGCTCGTCCCGAAGTTGTCCTGAGGACATTGTGGATGGTGCCTCTCAAAGCGTTTTCCTCTGGGCGCTGACGGCCACGGAGCCTCGAGCCACGGTGGTGGGCTCGCTGGAGCAGACACGCCGGCCATTCGTGAAATGGATCTTGAAGCTCATTTGCTACCTTCTCTGTTTTCCTTCTTTCTCATCCCCTCCTTCTGACTTGTGCCATTCATCTGTGATTTGTACATTCCTGTCAGCTGTCAATCTTTTCTGGGTTCAAGGATGGTCATGGAAAGCCATTGTGTGTAAGGAATCGTGGTTGATTCATGGTTTCCGTGGCAGAACAGGTCCCAGTAAGTAGAAGTCAGAGGAAGAGGAATCTCTGCTCAGTATTTTCTCTAACGCCATGGACAACCAGCTGCAAAATGGATCCTCGGGGAGGCATGGGGTTGAGGAGAGTCATTAACAGCAAAGCTACGGGACAATCACAGGGTCCTGGACGTGGGAGAAGCCCTCTCCCATTAACTTCGGGGGTTCTCAGGCTATAACTTAGAGCTTTCCTGTAAGATGCCTGCAAATCCACCTGAGCTTAACTGTTCCTCAACTATTAACAGATCCAGAATGTACAGCTATTATCATGTGGGTATCCGCAAAATGCTTGGCGTAAAAAATCGATCTCATACCTAAAAGGGTAACAACCGAATTCCCTGTCACTTGCAGAATTTAAATGTTAAGCCTTAGAAGTCGTTGTGAGAGTCCTGTAGACTCACGTTTTCGGAACAGACACGCCCACACATGAGCATCAGGCTTGGAGGGCTCTGCTCTGCTCACAGGCCCCACCCACGCCTGGAGGCCCCCACACATCCATGACTGCTGTTGTATGTAGCTTGCATCCGAAGAAACCGACTTCAGCATTTCGATTGTCTTTGGCCTCTTTAAA